TCTGCAAGGGGAAAGACAGTAAATATTTTAGGTTTTGGTGGCCACACAATCTGTCACAACCAACTTAGTTCTGCCATTATAGAGCAAAAACAGCCATATGTAATATGTGAATGAATGAGCAAGGCTGTGCTCCAACAAAACTTTATTTATAAAAACAAGCAACAGGTAGAATTTGATGGCCAAACCCCGCTCTGTTTCATATACCCAAAGGCTGGGTTTTGTGACCCCACGCTTTTGATAACTTTGTCTTTTGGTTTAAAAAATAAAACTTGCTAAGTCACATTACTGTTACTATTTCCACAGACTACTGTCCATGGTGTTGAGATTTTTAGTATAATATAGGGAACTCAACCTCTGAAAGCAGCAGCAGAGTGAAAGAGGGGTCTAGACTCAAGCCCTGGGATTTCCAGGCCCTGCTCCCTTTCCTATTAAGGCTGATTATTCTGATACAATCCTTCATAAACACCCTCACCCCCAATTCCTGCACTGTATCTCAGCCTGGATCAAAATTACAATGGCACCATGTCTGCTCCTTAAAAGATTTGCCTGGTGTTAGGACATGTGCATCAGTGCCAGGGGTTGGATCCACGGCCTGGGCCCACAGCCATGTCTCAGGCCTCAGGCAGACCCTTCCCTCCCAAATCCCACAGCCACTATCCCAGGTGGGCCTCATCCTCCTAACCCCCTGCTCAGCAAATATCCTCAATTTCAGCAAAAATACTGAGATTATTAAGTGTGGTCTTGCCCTCTAATCTACCTAGCTCCTGCCCCATCCTCCACTCTCTCTCCTCTCACTTGAACTCAGTCAGCTAGGCCAAGTTCAGATGTCCTCTCTCCTCCATGAAGTCTTCCTTGGATGTAAGCCTGCTTGAGATGCTTCTCCTACCGGCTCCACTACCCTTTGCGGCCAAGCTCATTTTAACTATTGTCCCTCTGCTCCTCAGCGTCTGTGAACTATTAATACTTGAGAAGCAGGATCCTTATCCATCTTTGTACCCTGCACAAACTAGTTCTCTTAACTCTCCACACCCTCTCTGAGAACTCTCACCTCGACCAAAAAAAGGTTATGGCTCCCCAACCATTCTTTTTTTTTTTTTTTTTAAGCCTCTAAACATTTGGCAACCCCAACCATTCTTTAAAGAGTAAAGGAAATGGTTATAATGAGAAATTAGGGGAGAAACTGAACTGCAATTTGATGACTCTGTAATTGCTTTCAAAATAATGCAATGAACCATAAGAAACCAGTTTTCAGCACAATTTAAACACTGAAGAATTAAACTATGTAAAGATATGATAGTCAACAGCAAAACAATACACGGGTTTTTCTCAATGCATATTAAGATGAATTCAAACATTCCTGACAGTTATTATTATAACACACACTCTTCATCACTCCCTTTAATGCACTCTCTTTTCATATTCTTCACCTACCTCAAGGGATTTACACAAGCTATTTTTCATTTGTTTGAAGTTAGGCATCTTGAATGTGTTTGGTTTTGTTCACTAGAAGCAGTTTACAACACTTCTCTCATGTCTGTCTTTATGCTACAAAAGCATTGAAAATGTCAGCCCAACTCGGGAGCTGCTAAATGCTCCCTCAGAGCCTGCAGAAATTCCATAAAATACTATGCCATGTAGGTCCTACCAAAATGACAGACTTCTGGCTCTAAAAGCTGTAAATGAGGATGGTTTTAAACTGCATGTTTATAAACCAGCGGATTTTGTTCATTGGATTTTAATAACTAAAGTTACTCAAATCTGAAGTCTAAAGTCAATGTTCCCTTGAAGCCATGCCAATGAGTAATTGGTTTTCAAACTCAAGTGGTAAACTGATAAGCACAGCAATCCAAAGTCCATCAACCTTATCTTTGCAGTCAATGATTAGACTCTTTTATTATCAAATACAGAAAGCTAATTCAGGGCATCTTTATGTCTGAATTGTTCTGAAAATGGTCACGAATATACTGCTTCTAACTCTTTACATACTCAAAAAGAAAGGAACAAAGAGGTCAATGATCCTAAGAGGTGATTAAAAAAACAAAAACAAAAAACCCAGACTGAGTTTTCTTTAAGTTTAGAGCACTCAGAAATGCAACCTCTAAGGTCAGGATCCAGAAGATCCCTCAGCTTAACCTTCCTCTCAGAAGCCTGAACAACTGCCAGGATACAACAGGGAAGAAACCGTGAAGAAGGCAAAAAATAAACCATCAGCTGGTGGGGAGGCGGGAATATATAGTTGACAAAGACCTAGTCTGACACCTTCTCACAACTATAAGATTGACTATGCATCTTCCCACTAACCAAATTCCTTAAAACCGATTTGGGGGAAAAGGTCATGTGGCAGCCCTTCTGCTAGCCTCATAACTTTGGAAAAGTAGTTGAATCTCTCTGGGTACCAGGTTTTGTTAAGTGTAAAATGCCAACAGTATTTACGCTGCCTCACTCATTTCAATGGAAATCCCACAGAAGCCCTTTTAACTAGGCAAGATGCCATATTCTATAAGGATGCTTACCATTAATGGCATAATCTAAAGACACCAGACACACATAAATGTGTCCAATATGCCCACTCCCATTTGCACAAACTGCTCTGTCACCAATCGTTTCCTACATGTTCTTCTTGCTACCACATCCTTCCCAGACACTTACTCTAAGCACTAGAAGTTGCTCTTGCCGCTCCCCATATCCCATGCATATATCACTTGCTCTTGCCTTTGAGTAGCATTTAGTACCTGCCCCACCATAGCTACTCATACACGTTAAACGTATAATAGATTTATTATCACTAAAGAACAAATCAGTACAGAAGACACCTGGAACTGAAATACCAAAAAAAAAAAATCTAGCAACCATTTAATACAAGGCACAATTTGCAACTGGTAGTCTAGACATGGCTTGTTCTAGAATAAACTGAAATGGTCCTTCTGGAAAGTTATGTCAGAAATGCTTCAAAAGCCAAAAAAGGCCAGGCGCGGTGGCTCATGCCTGTAATCCTAGCACTCTGGGAGGCCAAGGCCGGTGGATGGCTGGAGGTAAGGAGTTCGAAACCAGCCTGAGCAAGAGCGAGACCCCATCTCTACTATAAATAGAAAGAAATTAATTGGCCAACTAATATATATAGAAAAAATTAGCCGAGAATCGTGGTGCATGCCTGTAGTCCCAGCTACTCGGGAGGCTGAGGCAGGAGGATTGTTTGAGCCCAGGAGTCTGAGGTTGCTGTGAGCTAGGCTGACACCATGGCACTCACTCTAGCCTGGGCAACAAAGTGAGACTCTGTCTCAAAACAAAGCAAAACAAAACAGTATGCATTACTTTAATAAACAATAAATTCTCAACATAGAAGTTACTTATACTAGTGAAAATATAGAAGGGAGAAAGGTGTTTTTTGTTTGTTTTTACCTTTTATTTTTCATACTTCAAACATATACATATTTAGAATGCCGGTCCATCATCTAGCTTCAATTATAAATATTTTGCCAATCTTCTTTCATCTATATCCATCCTACTTTATTTTCTGAAGTATTTGAAAATCAAATCCCAGACCTCGTGTTTTTTCACCCATATATATTTCAATGTGCATCTTTAATTGATAAGAAAAAAATTATATAGTCATCATGCCATCATTACATCTAATAGGACAAAGGTAATTCCACAATATCGTCTAATATTCATAAAGCAAATGTGGCAAAATACTAACTACAGGTCGAATATCCCATATCCAAAATGCTTGGGACCAGAAGAGTTTCAAATTGGGATTTTTTTTTCGGATTTTGGAATATTTGCAATATACTTACTGGTTCAGCATCCCTAATCCAAAATGCAAAGTGCTCCAATGAGCATTTCCTTTGAGCAGTCAGCTCTCAAAATGTTTTGAATTTTGGAGGATTTCAGATTTCAGATCTTCAGATTAGGGATGCTCAACCTGTATTGTGAATCCAGGTGAAGGGGTCTCCAGGTGTGCACTGCACTACTTCTACCTTTTAGTAGGTAAGAAATTTTCAAAAAAAAAATAAAAAAAATAAGGGAAGGGATAGAAGGTTACAAAAAGGAAAAAACAAAAAAATCTATGGTTAAAATACACCAGGAAAAGGCAAAAAGAATTGAATTACAACCAGTGTATTATGTCCCCATGAAAAACGACTACATAAAGACTATTTAATAACACGTACTTTTTGTTTTTTGTTGTTTTGTTTTTTTGTTTGTTTTTTTTTTTGAGACAGAGTCTCCCACTGTTGCCCGGGCTAGAGTGCTGTGGCATTAGCCTAGCTCACAGCAACCTCAAACTCCAGGGCTCAAGCAATCCTTCTGCCTCAGCCTCCCAAGTAACTGGGACTACAGGCATGCACCACAATGCCCAGCTATTTTTCTACATATATTAGTTGGCCAATTAATTTCTTTCTATTTATAGTAGAGACGGGGTCTCGCTCTTGCTCAGGCTGGTCTCGAACTCCTGACCTCCAGCCATCCACCCGCCTCGGCCTCCCAGAGTGCTAGGATTACAGGCGTGAGCCACCACGCTCAGCCAATAATACATACATTTTTTAAAAATGTATAATTTGTCTCTGAAAAAAGGAGAATATAAGCCTGTTCAAATATAACTATTTTTAAATGGTTAGTGAGAAACCACTAGAGTATACCTAAAATATTGCTTTTGCTTTAAGGTGGTAGTATGATGGATAATATTTCCTGTTTTGCAAACATTTTCATAATGCACTTGTGCTTAAAAAAAATTTTTTTTAATGTAACGTAAAGATCAACCAGGTAACTGCATACTATGTTACTGTTGAACAATCTCAGGTATTCGTACAATTAGCTGGCTTCAATTTGAAAAATACCAGCAGCAGAAATCCTACTGAGGAGCCTTTATTTCCTCTTATACTCTGAGGAATTATGGATCACTCAAAAGCCAACAAATGACTCCTTCTCAACTGTCTAAAATGGTAACAAAGATAGTCCCATCCAAGGGCCCATTACAAAATCCATTATAAATATAAATGTACCTCATCATATATACTCCCGTTAATATCGGCACCATAGATAGGTGCCACAAATGTTAAATTCTTCCAGTACTTGCGCTCCAAATCTTCATAATCCAAATATCTCGGAGTACAATATCTGAAAAGGTAGATGAAAAAAGTACAAACCAATAAGATGGTTTTAAAATGTTTTCCTCCCCTTTGATTCACATCACTTTCCAAAACAAAATTCTAACAAAATACAGCAGACACCTATGTTGTCAAATCTAACAAACACATAAAATGTATTTATCATAGATATCTGAATATTCTTAAGATCCTCAAATAACTCTATTATCATTTTATATTAGTAGTAGCAGTAAAAATATTTTCATTAAAGTATCAACATGACATGTCACATAACATCTGAAAAAAAAGTATCAACGATATAAGCAAAAAAGTAGTTAAAAGGTCATTATTTTAGCTTTCAAAATATTTTTAAATCTTTATCCAATGATACTATACTAAGAAACTTCATAGATTTATATGTAGAGAACATGACACCGATAGAAACATTGACAAAGGACAATTTCACTAAAAACACAAGAAAGAAAACTAAAATAAGATACTTTGCAGTTATTTGATTGGCCATGCTTAGTATATTAATGGCAGGAAAAAGTGAGACCTCTTACACAGCTGCAGTAAAAATATGAACTGTTAAAACCTTTCCAACATATAATTAACATATAATTTTTAAACACATTATCAAAAACCTTAAAAAATCACCTCTAGCACTTGATTCTAATAACACAGATATGTGTACAATTGTAGACAGCCCAGGATGTTTGCTTCAGCATTAATTGAAAACACAAGCCAATATCCATCAACTAATAATTAGATTTTCTTTCTTTTGCTTTTTTTGAGACAGAGTCTCACTCTGTTGCCCGGGCTAGAGTGTTGTGGTGTCAGCCTAGCTCACAGCAACCTCAAACTCCTGGGCTCAAGCGATCCTTCTGCCTTAGCCTCCTGAGTAGCTGGGACTACAGGCATGCATCACCATGCCCAACTAATTTTTTGTATATATATTTTTAGTTGGCCAATTAACGTCTTTCTATTTTTAGTAAAGACAGGGTCTCACTCTTGCTCAGGCTGGTTTCGAACTCCTGACCTCGAGCAATCCGCCCTCAGCCTCCCAGAGTGCTAGGATTACAGGTGTGAGCCACTACGCGTGGCCTAGATTTTCAAAAATACAGAACATAAATAAGGTTAATCATTCTAGGTACTGACATTAAGTTCTTTCTACAGTGAATAGAGAAGTTACAGAATAGTGCGTATAATATGATCCAATTTAAGTAAAATTAAATAACTGTAATTGTACACTAAGTAGCCATGAAATATACACCAAATTATTAATAATGTTTATCTCTCACATAAGTATTACATAAAAGCACTTACTTCTTTGCATTGTTATGATTTAACAATAATCTTATGTTATCAACAAAAAAGGAAGTAAAAAAAGGTGTTTAGCAGTAGCAACAATCTCTATAAAGCATATTGAACACTGTAGATTAACTAATTACAGAACTATCAACATGTACATTCACTACACTGGGAAACCCAATCTGGTTATCTACATAATAAGCAAAAAGATCAAACAACTTCATTTGACAACCATATCTGCAATACAGAACAATTTGCTGTTCTACCCAGAATACTAGAATCTCACAGCACAGGCAAAAACAAAAGGATGAGCATGAAAGCACCACTAACTTGACATCATTCCACCACTTCTATTAGTGGGTTCCAGTAGTATCAGGAATTCTAGACACAAGCTAAACAAGCTAACCAGAGGTCAAAGTCAGGTGATTAAGACAGATGCACATCTCTATTCCCCAGAGCACAGAACACAAAAAAGAACAGAAAGGGGAGAAGAAGGTAGTAGAAATGCTATTTATTAGGACTTCTAAAGAAACATCATGAATTTTAGAAATTGAAGTTCTTAACTGCCTTACACTATATATGAAGACTCCATCACCATACACCCAGTCAGGATCAATTTTTAAAAACCCATAATTCTTAATGGGAAAGTTAAAGTTTGATATTGGCCATTGAGAGTAAATTTTAAAATCACTGTGGCCAGGCACAGTGGCTCACGGCTGTAATCTTAGCACTCTGAGAGCCCGAGACGGGCGGATCATTTGAGCTCAGGAGTTCGAGACTAGCCTGAGCATGTGAGTGAGACCCATCTCTACTTAAAAATAAATAAATAATAAAAACAAAACAATGAAAGAACTACAAAAATCATTTTAAAAATTTTAAAAATACATGAATTAAATAAAATCACTGAGTATTTGAAACAAATGCTGATTCTAAGCTAGAAAAAATTGACCAGTTCACTTGGGTAGTACCTGATTCTAATAAATCCAAACTACAGTTTCCTTCCTTAATGGATTGTCAAATAATCACAACTAGTCCACAAATCCTCTGTCAATTTATTCAACACTGATTCAATCATACCTTCCTCTATAGCACAGTTATTAAGAGGTGGGCTTCAGGACCATGCTGCCTGGGTATTAGTGCAGGCTTCTATTTATAAATTACATAATCTCAGACAGGGGCCTCAATTTCTCTGGAACTCAATTATTCCTCTATAAAATAGAGATAATAACGGCTGAGGTGTTGTGAGGGCTCCATCACCTAATTATGTAAAGGACTTACCCCCAAGCCTAGAAAAAAGTACAGATCTGTAATATGAACAATGCAAATTCACCTCTATACATTATTACATTAGAGCTATGTTGAAAGTCTCTAGATTTTCTTTGGACTAAGATGCATTATCAAACAAACAGGCATGTTTGTCTCTGCTATTTAAACCAAGCACATTATGTACTGTGTACCTATCCAAAGGCATGTACCAAAGGAAAAGAGATGAATGGAAAAACTGCCAGCATGCTTCCTGCCGCCCATAAAAATTGGTCCACCTCATGACAACTCCACAACTATTATGAAGACAGCCATGTGATCCTAGCATAGCTCTGTATGGACAAACAAGAGCACTGGCTTGAGGCTTAGAAATCCATTTCTATTGGCATTTGAAATAAATTTCCACATGAAACTGGTAGAGAAAATATAATAAGATGAATTTCAAAGGTATTTCACCATTATAACAATTATGATGAAATTAATGTGAATCAAAAGATAAGTTAACTGTAAAAGAAATAAAATTTAACCTAGAATAATCTTTCAAACAATTTCTCAAAATGGTGATATTTCATAATTTAAAAAAGAGAGTCAACTATTTTTTTAACATCTTTGAATTCCAGAATATCAAGAAATGTACCTTTTATTAGTAAGTAAATCTTTACAATCTACCTAATTATCTGCACCATTTCAAGTATATTTTATCTTTTGTGACACTATTCATTCAATCAACATATGTTGAAAAAACACCTACCATATCCCAGATCCTATACCAGGAACTGTGTATACAGTGGTATACAAAATAGACAATGTCACCTGAATGATTCTCTTCAGGAAGAGTAAATCTACAAACAAGCGACCAGAGTAAAAACTGAAGAGATATGAATAAAAGTAGTGCCTAGTAATATAAATTCTCTTGAAATAAAAAATTGGTATCGGCCGGGCGCGGTGGCTCACGCCTGTAATCCTAGCTCTCTGGGAGGCCGAGGCGGGCGGATTGCTCGAGGTCAGGAGTTCGAAACCAGCCTGAGCAAGAGTGAGACCCCGTCTCTACTATAAATAGAAAGAAATTAATAGGCCAACTAATATATATAGAAAAAAAAATTAGCCGAGCATGGTGGCACATGCCTGTAGTCCCAGCTACTTTGGGAGGCTGAGGCAGAAGGATTGTTTGAGCCCAGGAGTTTGAGGTTGCTGTGAGCTAGGCTGACGCCACGGCACTCACTCTAGCCTAGGCAACAAAGTGAGACACTGTCTCAAAAAAAAAAAAAAAATTGGTATCATGCTACAAATATCTAATGGACTAGACATGATGATCAAAGTTTCTCTATGACAAGAGAACAAAGGATTTCAAGGTTCAATTCTTATCAGTATTCTGAATATTCAGAATTCTGGAAGAGTCTGATAAAACGAGTACTATCTATGATGAAAGTTTCACATTTTCAATTAATGAGATCTTAAAAAATGAGGCTCTACCAATGCCTACACAAAAATTTCAAAAGAAGCGATTCAAATTAAATTAAATACAGGCCAAGCACAGTGGCTCACGTCTGTAATCCTAGCACTCTGGAAGACTGAGGTGGGTGAATTGCTTGAAGTCAGAAGTTCTAAACCAGCCTGAGCACGAGCAAGACCCCATCTCTACTAAAAATAGAAAGAAATTAATTCGCCAACTAATATATATAGAAAAAAAAATTAGCCAGGCATGGTGGCGCATGCCTGTAGTCTCAGCTATTCGGGAAGCTGAGGCAGTAGGATTGCTTGAGCCCAGGAGTTTGAGGTTGCTGTGAGCTAGGCTGATGCCACAGCACTCACTCTAGCCTAGACAACAAAGCGAGACTCTGCCTCAAAAAAAATAAAAATAAATAAATTAAAAATAAAATTATCAATTTCTTTGTAACAGCCAAAGTGCTCCACAGTAGGAATTTAACACACAGAAGATTCTTCAAGTACCATCATGCGTTTACAACATCAAATATAATTTTTTTACAAAAAGAAAAAAGTAGCTAAATTTATCCAAAGTGTTAACCTCATTTACACCAACCCAAGGAATCTGAACAACTATGCTTTTTGGTTAGTCTTTTAGATTTGGTTTTGGGGTTTTTTGTTTCTTTTTTGTTGTTGTTGTTAGATTTGTGTTTTAATCAGAAACTTTTAAAAATATACATATACTTTAATAGCAATCATAATTGGGATAATTTTTAAATATATCCACAAATTCTTTGACACTCCTCCCTTCAAGTAAGGTTGCATTTACTCCCTTGAGTATAGGCTACACTTAACAACTGGCTTTTAACAAATAGAATATGGCAGAAATGACAGTGCGTCACTTCTGAAATAAGTCATGAAAAGACACTGTGGCTCCCATCTTGCTAACTCTCTCTTGGATTACCTGCTCTAGCAGAGGCCAGCTGCCATAACATGAGGAGCAGTCCATGTGACAAGGATCTGTGTGCTCCAGCCAACAGTCACATAACTGGTGCACTCTTGGAAGAGAATCTTCCAGTCACAGTCAAATATTTGGATGACTGCAGCCCCAGCCAACATCTTTACAGCAACTTCATGGGAGACTCTGAGCCAGAGCCCCCAGCTAACCCACTTCCAGATTATTGACCTTCAGAAATTATGGATTAGTTTAAGCAGCTAAAATTTAGAATACTTTGTTACACAACAATAGATAACTATTGCAATAACAGTGGCCTTTCATGTTGTTCAAGGTTTTCTTTTAAAATAACTAATCTTCTAATGCACACACATATATTAAAATATATATGTATAAAGCTTAAATATTGTAATACAATTTTTAAAAATATCCTAACAAAGATGAAATGTATATAAACAAAAATTCATAGCAGCTGGGCACAGTGGCTCATGCCTATAATCCTGGCACTTTGGGAGGCTGAGGTTGGAGGATGGCTTGAGGCCAAGAGTTTGAGACCAGCCTGGGTAACCACAGCAGTCTCTACAAAAAATTAAACAATTAACCAGGCATGGTGACATGAGCCTGTGGTTCCCAGCCTTGGGAGGCTAAGGCAGGAGATCTCGAGTCCAGGAGTTCAAGTCTGCAGGGAAGTACGATTGCACACGTCTGCACTCCAGCCTAGGTGACAGCGCAGGACCCCATCTCATAAAAAAAAAAAATTTTTTTAATGTTTTAAAAACTCTAAGTAACTAAAAGACAGAAAGTTCCATTTAAAACTATTATGAATGAGATAATAAAATGAAGAACAATTTCCTTAACAGTCAACTAAATGTTGGAAGGCAACCACCTGAACAAAAGAAATAGTTAAATGAGGACTGACAGAGATTGTCTAGGAGACTCCTTCTTTTTATGATAACTACTCTGTCTACTTTCTTTCTTACCATACATATATATATATACATATATATATATAAAATAAATATAGCCAACTGAATCTACTCACTTCCCACTATTGGCCAGTTGCCTGAACTCCTTCACGGTCATGGCTTTTTTCTGGATGTTGTATTGCGTGAACAGTCCGGACTGCCCTGTGACCATCTGCTGAATCGGCGCTGGAATAAGCAAATTATCAATGTCATCATAGCACTGTCTTGGCTTCCACTCCTTAGGAGGAATCACCTAAAAATAAAACAACAAAATAAAATATTTTCTCGAAAATACTGCAAGTAATTTAGCTTTTATATTCCAACCGAATACAACTGAAGAATTTTTCAGCATCTCTATAACAGAGGAGTAAAAAAGAAAAATCACAAAGATTCACAATAAGGAAATATGATTGTTTTAACAACAAAATTGAGTACTCACTATACTAAACACTGTACTTGCAATAACTCATTATTGAGTTAGTATGATTACCATCTCTGGTTCATAGATAAAATTAAAAGACATAGAAGTAAAATAACTTTCTGGGTTCAAATGGCTAAAAAGTACTTGAGCTGAAATTCAAACTGAGAGCATAATATCTGAATTCACACTGAGCCATTATGTTAACCACCTCTCAATAGAAGATAAAATTATGTTTACAGAAATCACTTCTTTCCCAAAGAAGTTCATCTTTATTTAATTTTACCTAAACATCTAACTATGTGTTGCTTATATTATTTTGAGAAAAATAAGTAAATATTTATTTAGTCAATATTATTTTCTTTATAGACCTCTCACTCAAAACGGCAAATAACACAGTCGTGTGCTAGTAAATGTTTACCAACTAGCTTTCTGGGAAGGTGGCGGAAACCTTGATTCATAACTTTTGCCTATTTCCTTGGTGTAATTATTCCCACCATGGCCAGTTTGAACCTACCAATGAACATCAATGAACGTGGAGCTGGGAAGAGATGTGCACTATCAACTCTCAAATGCCAGTATGAAGTGGCTCAGCACACCACGGTTTTCCAATGGCATTTAGACAATTACTAATAGTGAAAAAATCCAGAAACATTAAAACCAAAACACATACTGAGATGATTAAAAATTAGAAAATACGGGCCAGGAGTGGTGGCTCACGCCTGTAATCCTAGCACTCTGGGAGGCCAAGGTGGGCGGATTGCTCGAGGTCAGGAGTTCAAAACCAGTCTAGGCAAGAGCAAGACCCCGTCTCTACTAAAAATAGAAAGAAATTAATTGGCCAACTAATATATATAGAAAAAATTAGCCGGGCATGGTGGTGCATGCCTGTAGTCCCAGCTACTTGGGAGGCTGAGGCAGGAGAATCGCTTGAGCCCAGGAGTTTGAGGTTGCTGTGAGCTAGGCTGATGCCACGGCACTCACTCTAGCCTGGGCAACAAAGTGAGACTCTGTCTCAAAAAAAAAAAAAAAAAAAATTAGAAAATACAGGCCGGGCAAGGTGGCTCACACCTGTAATCCTAGCAGTCTGGGAGGCTGAGGCAGGTGGATCTCTCAAGGTCAGGAGTTCGAAACCAGCCTGAGCAAGAGCGAGACCCTGTCTCTACTAAAAATAGAAAGAAAGTAATTGGCCAACTAAAAATATATAGAAAAAATTAGCCAGGCATGGTGGTGCATGCCTTCAATACAAAGTCATGAAGTAAGTCATGATTTATAGCTGAAACTTTTCTACCTTTATAAGTTGTTTCAATTTTTTTAGGACAAACTAAAATTTGTGTATAGAAAAATATAGCACACATAGAAAAAGTGCATAATCGCAAATACGTAGCTCTATGAATTATTATAGAGCAAACACCAAAGTATACAACGTCCAGGTCTAAGAAGCAGGATATTGCTGGCATCCCAGAAGCCCTCCAAGTGCCCTTTCCAAACACATCCTCCTCTTGCTCAAGAGATAACTACTATCACGGCATTTATGACAATCATTTCCATACTGAGCTTCAGTTTCATGCTTGGGTATGTATACCTAAACATCACTGTTTGAAATGTACAAAAATGTAATCTCACAGTATATATGTTTTATAGTTTATCTTCCATATTTCACTCAATATTTTTATGAGATTGAAATTAATGGCCTATGTAGCTGAAGTTCATTGACTTTCATTCCTACTCAGTATTCCCTCATATAAATATTTACCTATTCAGAAATTGGTTACTATTGGCCGGGCACAGTGGCTCACTCACGCCTGTAATCCTAGCACTCTGGGAGGCCGAGGCAGGCAGATTGCTCAAGGTCAGAAGTTCGAAACCAGCCTGAGCAAGAGTGAAACCCTGTCTCTACTATAAATAGAAAGTAATTAATTGGCCAACTGATATATATAGAAAAAATTAGCCAGGCATGGTGGCGCATGCCTGTAGTCCCAGCTACTTGGGAGGCTGAGGCAGCCAGATTGCCTGAGCCCAGGAATTTGAGTCTGCTGTGAGCTAGGCTGATGCCACTGCACTCACTCTAGTCTAGGCAACAAAGCGAGACTCCGTCTCAAAAAAAAAAAAAAAAGAAATTGGTTACTATTCATGCTCACTTGGTTTTTTTCCAGTTAATGGCTATTGCAAATAATGCTATTAATATTTCTGTACACATATTCTAAGTGTATATGTGCACAGAGGTCCCTACAATATGCACATATAGACAGACATCTAACAGTGATATTACTAGGACACACATTATGTTTGGTTCAAATGTAATAGTTACTTGCCAAAGTGGTTGTACCAGCTCATACTCACAACAGCAATATAGTAGAGTTCCTGTTCTTTCATGTCTTCATCATCACTTTACACTGTCCATCATTCAAGGTTTTTGTTTGTTTTGTTTTTTTTGTTTTGTTTTGGTTTGGTTTGGTTTTTGAGACAAAGTCTCACTCTGTTGCCCGGGCTAGAGGGCCATGAGGTCAGCCTAGCTCACAGCAACCTCAAACTCCTGGGCTCAAGCAATCCTCCTGCCTCAGCCTTCCGAGTAGCTGGGACTACCGGCATGTGCCACCATGCCCGGTTAATTTTCTCTATATATTTTAGTTGGCCAATTAATTTTCTTTCTATTTTTAGTAGAGACAGGGTCTCTCTCTTGCTCAGGCTTGTCTCAAACTCCTGACCTTGAACTATCCGCCCGACTCTGCCTCCCAGAGTGCCAGGATTACAGGCGCAAGCCATCTTGCCGGGCCCATCATTTAAGTTTTAGTCTTCCTGGTTGGTGTATGATGGTACCCAAGTGTGAATTTTATTTGCACTTTCCCCATAACTAATGAAATCTGTTCCTATGTTCACTGACCTTCCTGATAGTCTCCTTTGTGAAGTGCTTATTCAAGTCTCTTGACCATTTTACTATTGCATTATCAGTCTTTTACTTATTAATGTGGGGCCTTTTATACATTCTGAATATTCTCAGATATGTAAGTATGCATACATATACAGGGAGAGAGACAAAGAGTGTGAGTGAGTGAACACAAGAGCACACAAATACCTTGTCCTACCATATCCTGTAACTTGCCCTACAAACTTCTTAAAAGTATCTTTTGATAAACATAAATTTTAATTTTAATGTAATCCAATTTATTCATCTCTGCCTTTATAAGTACTGCTGTAATCTTCAATTTGAAAAATAAATACTTCCCTACTCTAGAACAAGAAAATATTCTATTTCGTATTCTAAGAGTGTTAAGGTTTTGCTTTTCACATTTTAGACCTATAATGTATTATACCTGTAACTGTGAAAGACTCAGGTCCAGCTTATCACATAAAGAAATTTGGGGTTAGGAGATGAGCAACTCAGTCAACGTTATACAGCTGGTAAGTAACAGAGCTGTCAGCTCAAAAAAAAAAAAAAAAAAAAAAAAAAAGAGACTAATCAGGGTCCAGAAAAAAAATTTTCATCAGCAATACAGGGACACTATGTATTATTCTCCAAGGTATGTTAGTTTAAAACGAGGTGTGTAAACCATGTCCACCTGGGCTAAGAAATAAAATAAAAAAAAAATAAACGAGGTGTAGAGACCTCTGTGCACATATGCACTTAGAATATGTGTACAAAAATATTAAATGACTGTGTATCTACATATATACATCCATAGTGTATGTTACTGAAAATATACATTTAATGTTTTAAAAGAATATGTGCAATCACACTATATGAATATGGATAACCATAGTATTAATACATTGTCTTGATAACATACTGAAAAGGAAAGGGGGTTGTATTTAAAGTGTTATAAAAACTAACTTTTTTCATCAGAAATAAGTTTGAGTAATTCAAAAAAATAAAACAGATTTATTCAGAGTCCTCTTTTGAGATAAATATATCTGTAATCAAAAATACTATTGTTGGCCGGGCGCGGTGGCTCACGCCTGTAATCCTAGCTCTCTGGGAGGCCAAGGTGGGCGGATTGCTCGAGGTCAGGAGTTCAAAACCAGCCTGAGCAAGAGCGAGACCCCGTCTCTACTATAAACAGAAAGAAATTAATTGGCCAACTAATATATATATAGAAAAAAGTTAGCCGGGCATGGTGGCGCATGCCTGTAGTCCCAGCTACTCAGGAGGCTGAGGCAGGAGGATTGCTTGAGCCCAGGGGTTTGAGGTTGCTGTGAGCTAGGCTGACGCCATGGCACTCACTCTAGCCTGGACAACAAAGTGAGACCCTGTCTCAAAAAAATAAAAATAAAAATAAATTAAAAAGTTTTATAGCAATTTCTAAACATAGAGAAGCAAGGCATACAATAAATTTCAAAAATCCAAATATCACCACCTTGTGTCTACTTTGCACATGTGTTCAAAAAACATTTTCAAAATTCTTAAGTTCAGGTCTATAACAAAAATTTTGTTTTTGAACCATAATTTTAAATGTTAGAACATCAGATTTCTTACATATGAAAGCACAACATACTTAGGTCTTCAAATGTAAATGTTAAATGTTTAAGTTAAGCCTTTATATTTAATGAATCTAAATGAAAGGAAGCCATTCCTCCTAAAGTTCATTCTTCCTGATAATGTCAAAATACATATTTTACATCATCATTCCCACGAACCCATCCTGGCCCCTACTCCTTATGGATAAATTCCAGCTAAAAATCTGTATTTTCATTATGTATCTTGTAATAAATTGCTATTACTACCATCTACCTACTGAGGAAGGACCAGAAGAAAAAAGGGCAGTGCTTCTGACAACCTTTCTTCACCTGTGGGCGAAGATACGTCTCTTGCATTCCCTGAGCTGTTCGTGAAACTATCTAATGTGCATAGCACATAGCCATGGCTCAGGACAATCAGTGTCCACACTCCTCATGGGGACAAGCTTCACTCATTTTCTACATAAAAAAGATTCATCATTATTTCCTTCCATAAAAACAATACAAGTTTTACATTTAAAGAGACCATCACTCCTTTCTCTTTCCCAACTTGACCAACTTTATAGACAGAGGTGTTCTCACTCTAGAAATAAAAATTAAATCTAAAATATAAATCTAAACAATGTTGAGAAGAGAAAAAGCAAGACAGACTAAAATCACAGACCAAAGTCACTACTATTAGAACTACTCAACCAATTTCCTCAAATCATAAAGGAAGGCCAATTCATTAAATGTTGTCAATAGTGCATTAACAAAGAACCTCATGGGAAGATATATTTCCTAAGGTAGTCTCAAAAGCAAACCAGCTACCTTGATGCAGGCTTGATTCTTACAATATGATTTGATTCGGTGCAGTTTTATACATTCGCTATTACTACAACTTTCACAACAAAAGGGAAAGTAGATAAAACTGAGCTTTTGTAACTTGACATAAGTGACGAAAATTACTAGAAACAAACAGTTCACTGTATTCCTGGTATTAATAGGAAATTGTCATAGGATTAAATAAATGAATGTCTCCAACTTTCTCAATGAGTCTCACTTTTAAAAAAACAGGGGAGAGTGGGAGGGAAAAAAGGGTGAATCTGGACTCAGGTGTGTTTTGTAATTGTAATTCCCATTACCTTTATTCTGTTACATAATGCGGACAGCAGCACAGGTGTACTCTATGTATGCGCAGCTCCCTTGTGAGGGAGCCTGCTGCTCCCTCCTCTAAAGTTACTAAACATGCTACCCTACCACAGGACATTCACCTAATCTCAGGGGAACATAGTATATGTTTTCAAGAAACAAAAGGGGGAGAAAACAGGACAAAGGACTGCATTCAGAACCCTGAGAAGACAAGAGACAATCATCCCCAACTTCTGCTTACATAAAGCCCAAATCTTTGCTAGCCCATTACAAGTTCATGACCAAAATTATGTCTGTTAAATGATTCTGAAATAATACATTATCTTCAACTAAAGAATGCTTTTTCTCCCCAACAACAATCTGTAGGTGTTGAGATTCCAAAACTGAGATCTTTAAAGAACTAACCCAATAAAAAATTTAAACAAAGATACCTCCTCTGAAAATTCATTAAAAACCTTTACATTCTGTGTTTTCTCTTTATGTTCCTTTTTTTTTTAATCTCTCATCCACCCCTAATTAACTCAATATCTCCAAATTTTAAAGCTTTTCTAGGAAGGACTTGAATCTTAACAGGATACATAACAAAATTACAGGCCTCAAGAAACATACCAGAGACAGTGAAGAATTGAGTTACAAGTGGCATCAGGTCCATTTGCAGGAGGACTTGAACACCAGTCCCTGTGGTTCTAAGTTCTCTCCTGAACTACAGCCTGCTCTCTATACTATATGACCTTCACAGCAGAGATGGGAACTTGAAGGAAAACCCTTTAACACAGGCACACTTAAGTGGTTCAGCCTGGCAGCACACTCTGTCAGGACTCAGGGATTTATGTTGTGATATTGACAAGTCAACAGAAACCCAGATTATAAATTTAACATTTAGAACAATCATAAATTAAAATAAGTGCAATAAAATATACTCTTCCAAGAGAAATTTTTAAATTATAATAGATTTCCATTATAGAAGGGACACACAAACCATCTCAGGTTGCAGGTCAGAGGATGAATTATATAGACGATCTTTCTTTGAAAGCTCTGAGTTTGGATCTATGTGTCCAAATGTGCAATGCAGTCCTCAGCATTTTACTGGCCACCCCTATGACTCTGAGGATATCATTTAAACCCAAAGTTCTTAAGTAACCAGCATCATTTTTTTTAAGAATATTATCTGACACCTATAAAAATAAGAAAAGATGAATATTTTCAAACACAAAGGCAACTACTCTCCCCTTCACTGATCTGGGCCACCATCAGCTCCTCACTAGATACACACAACTACCCCTGTCAAGACACCCTACTTATATTCTCCCCCAAACATCAGATTTTTTTCTTCACACAGAAGTCAGTGTGATCTTTTCAAAATAATGTCACAAAAATAGAAAAAGAAATAAACAAATAGCCACCAACTACTAGTTCTTTCTCTCCCACTACACTCAGAATAAAACCCCCAATGCCTTACGATGTATGGCCAGACAAGCCCAATACCATCCGGCCCAGTCTTCATCTTAATTCCAACCCTCTTCCCCCTGTTCACGGAACCCCAACTCCACTGACCACCTCCTCGGTCTCTCACACATGAAGTCCAGGTCAGCCTTCAGGCCTCCAGACTATTCTTTCTGTTCCTGCATCTTGAAAAGGCTGGTTTCAGCCAGGCTCGGTGGCTCACGTCTGTAATCCTAGCACTCTGGGAGGCTGTGGCGTGCCGATTACTCGAGGTCAGGAGTTCGAAACCAGCCTGAGCAAGAGCGAGACCCCGTCTCTACTATAAATAGAAAGAAATTAATTGGCCAACTAATATATATAGAAAAAATTAGGTGGGTATGGTGGTGCATGCCTGTAGTCCCAGCTACTTGGGAGGCTGAGGCAGGAGGCTTGCTTGAGCCCCGGAGTTTGAGGTTGCCGTGAGCTAGGCTGATGCCACGGCACTCACTCTAGCCTGGGCAACAAAGCGAGACTCTGTCTCAAAAAAAAAAAAAAAAAAAAAAAAAAAAAAGAAGGCTGGTTTCTTTTCATCCTTTAGGTCTCTGCATAAATGTCCTTATCATCATCCTAAAGTGCTAACACTGGAATGTAAGCTCCATAATGGCAGGAACTTCATCTGTTCTATCCCCCTAGCACCTGGCACAGTGCCTAGCACATAGTAGGCACTCTCCACATTTGGTGAACAAATAACTAAAAAGAAAACAGAAAAGGCAAACTAGAGAGAGAAAACGTACAACTATGGTTGCCTAGGGCTGGGGGGATGGCAGGGAATGGGGAATGACTGCTTAATGAATGCAGTTTTCCTTCTGAGGTGATGAAAATGTTTTGGAATTCAAAAGAGGTGATGGTTGCACAACTCTGTGAATATACTAAAAACCAATGAATTGCACATGTTAAATGAGTGTATTGTATGGTATGTAAATTATACCTCAATAAACCTGTTCTATCAAAACAATGAAAAACAAGGAAAAGAAAAACATAAAAGGAAAAGAGGAGGAAAGAAGAGAAGAAGGGGAGTAGTTACCAAGCTTCAGGTATGAGAAACTGATGAAAACTAGAATACTCTCACACCTCTGTAACCCATACATGGATCTCTTTGGCTTCTATTTGCCACCCTTGCTTTAGAGAAAAAAAAACAGTGGTCTCCAACCTTTTTGGCACCAGGGACCGGTTTCATAGAAGACAATTTTTCCCTAGGGATGCAGATAGTTTCAGGATGATTTAAGTGCATTACATTTATTGTGCAGTCAAACCTCTGAGCTAATGATAATCTGTATTGCAGCCGCTCCCCAGCACTGGCATCACCACCTCAGCTCCACCTCAGGTCATCAGGCATTAGATTCCGATAAGGAATGCACAACCTAAATCCCTCACATGCACAGTTTGCAGTAGGGTTCACACTCCTGTGAGAATCTAACGACACTGTTGATTGGACAGGAGGTGGAGCTTATGTGGTGATGCAAGCAATTGAGAGTGGCTGTAAATACAGATAAAGCTTCACTTGCTCACTAGCTTGCCCAACGCTCACCTGGTCCATGGCCCAGAATACAAACTAATATAGGTAGAAGAAAAAAAATTATTCTTTGAAAAAAATCTAATTTCCACATGTATTAAAAAGAACAAAGATTTTGCAAATATCTTCCTTTGGAAAAGCCAATATCTCACATCATGATGACTAAGAGCATAATTTAAATGCCAACTGATCATTTTTATTTAAAGGATCTGAGGATAATCACCTTTGCAAGTCCTGCTCGATGGGCTCCTTTAGACTCCATATATGCAAGGTATTTGTTGAACTCCCGGAACTCCTCCATGGAGGGTCTGAAGGTCATTATCTTACAGCTGGGGTTCAGAGGACTCTCCGCCTCGACCACCTCCATGACAGCTAGGACAGTCTCTGCAATGAAGACAATACAGTTATCATACCAAATTATTAGGGTCAGTGGTCACTTCTCCCAAATGGCTGGCTCTCCAGCAGGAACTCTTTTCTCTAGTGACTTTCTATTCCCTTCTACCACTCCTAGGGAGACTCCCTCACCTCTCTCTGGACTCCTGAAAAAAGAAGGGCCTCTAACCACTCCTCCTGCCAAGTTCCTATTACTGGCATTGACTCACTGTCCTGACTGTACTGCTGGCCTCCTCAGAATTCTCCCAAGTAAAAATGAGTTTTCTACCTTTGGAAGTTTACAAGATGCTGCCCCTGTGTACCACTTCTGAACAGACACACACGCGCACCTGCATAAAGGCCTAGTGTAGGTGAACACTAGTGAACATCCCTAGAACAGAGTTTGCTCAGGTGTGCTTCCAGATTGTCATAACATACTTTGCTATAATAATTTACAAATCATTCATTCAGCAGAATAGTCAGGCATCAGGCTAAAGTACTGGAAACACAGAGAGGGCTGAGGTTTGTCTTCACCTTCCAAGCTCACTGTCCAGAGGCTGAACAAACTTCACTACAAAAATATACACAGACTTCACTACAAAAATATACATACATAGGAAGAAAAAACTAACTCCACCTGGGTTAGTCAGAAATCACTTCCCCAGAAAGAGGAGGAGTTAAGAGTTATAAGAAGGTGTAGGAGTTGGCCAGATGAAAGAAAGAACATTCCACAGTGGAAATATTTGGAAGTATTGCAGGAGTGAAGGAAGTTTAATGTGTCTGAAGCTTAGAAAGCAAAGATTACAAGAGATTAAGGAAGAAAAGTTGGCAATAGGTTTTGCTATGAAAACTTGGACTTAATCTTTCTGTCAATCAACAAGATGATTCCTTCAACAAAAATGTACTTCAGCAAGTGAAAGGCATAGGGAACGCAAAGGTGAGGCAGCACGCACTAGAGAGACTGCCTCAGCCCACTTCCAGGTTGATTAGGACCTGGCCTCTGACAGCTCAGAAGCTCAGACAACAAATCCTCCCAGAACAATTTTTTTTTTTTTTTTTTTTTGAGACAGAGTCTCACTTTGTTGCCCAGGCTAGAATGAGTGCCATGGCGTCAGCCTAGCTCACAGCAACCTCAAACTCCTGGGCTCAAGCAATCCTCCTGCCTCAGCCTCCCAAGTAGCTGGGACTACAGGCATGCGCCACCATGCCCGGCTAATTTTTTCTATATATATTAGTTGGCCAATTAATTTCTATTTTTAGTAGAGACGGGGTCTTGATCTTTCTCAGGCTGGTTTCAAACTCCTGACCTTAAGCGATCCACGCACCTCAGCCTCTCAGAGTGCTAGGATTACAGGCGTGAGCCACCCGGCCTCCCCCTACCCTTTTTTTTTTCAATAAATTTATTTTGCCTGACAGAAAGTAAATTGAGAAGTGAGAGATGGGGTGGATAAAAGGAGAAAACATGTTATGAGTTAATAAGAGGTGAAAACAGAGCAGGGCTAAAGATAGCAACATGGTCATCATTTTGTTAAAGAAAGCTTAAATTAGTATCCATTCCACAATGCCAGGGGTGATGAGGAACATAAAAAGTAAACCCCACCACCCTTTAGGAGTTTATAATCCAAATGAGAAAATAATCTGCACAGAGATATATTAATACATGGCAGGAAATATTCTAGATTCTCCCTGCCTCAGGAAGTGGGCATGCAAAGAAAAAAAAGCTTCTAGGATACCCCCTTAGCCGCCTCCCTTCACACGTACACAGGAGCACAAGCCCAAAGCCATGGGCTGTACTACAGAAGTCTCTCTATATACAGTAACCAGTAACCACATGGTCCCTTACAGGCATCTGGGTCCGGCCCAAGCCCAACTATTGTGGCCTCGTCCACCATCATTGCCTGCATTGTAGTTTGTGCTCCAATAATACTCATTGCTTTGTGCCTCTGCACACAAGTAAAGTTCTCTGTGCCTTTGCACAAGTTATTGGAGTGGCCTATGCCTGCTTCCTCCTCACCTAGCAAACTCCTGCCCACCCTTGAGATTTCCCAACCCTCTGGAAGAGGCCCGGGTGAACCATCCCTGTGTTCCTGTCTCCCTCTTTGCATTCCTCATTACTGCCTATCCCAACTGCTGGCACTTCCGACCACCCACTGAGCCATCAAGTCCTCCAGGGAAAGGCAGACTCACCATCTCTTTAAGTCTGGCACCCAGCCTGGCTCACAATATCTGCTGCAATAATTATTTGCCAGCTGAATGAAGGAATAAGTGCCAAGTGCTAACATATTTACATAAAATGATAACAAATTCAGGAAAAGGAAAGAAGTGGTCCCAAACACGGTAAAGTTACTTAGAAAACAGATTCATTTGCATGACTGGTAAAGAATATTAGGATAGAAAAATCTGAGCAGTGAGAAAAGGGAAGCCCACATATCACCGTTTTAGAAACATTTGGTACACAGAAGGCAGCGTTCCTTTTTCCTGAGCCAAGAACAAGGGTGGCCTGAGGATTTCTCTAGGCAGAGGAATAAGCCACTAAAGAAGAAATTGAAAGTCCAGCCAGTTATTCAACAAATAGTTATCTAATGCCTAAGAGCTGGGCAGGTATTCATCAGAGAATGAAACAAAGTCCCAATGCTAATGGAGTGAAACACACCATAAGTGAGTAGTATGTGCCACGAAGAACCCAGGGTAAGGCAGACAGAGTGCAAGGGGCAGGCCTGCTGTTGCATACAGGGCAGGCGAAGGAAGGTACTGCAGGTAAGCAGACACCTGAAGAGGGAAGTAATCATACAGACACATGGAAACGAGCATTTGGGTCTGAGGCAACAGCAAGGAAGGAGCCTCTTGAGCTCTGCAAGAAAAGCAAGGAGGTAAGTCTAGCTCCCACTCAGTGAGCATGAAGAAGAATGGTGAAGGGTGAGGCTGAGGAGTAAAGGAGTTTGGCATTTACTCTGAATGACATGAGAAGTGATCGAAGCCTCCCCCGTTTCTTGGTATCCAGTTCTTCATACTCAAACATTCATTTCCATCCAAAGAGATGACACTACCACCCTTCTGGACAATCTGATGCAGCGAAGTGAGCTGGCTCACACTTTGAAAATCTCATTCTGGGCTGGGCTTAGTAGCTTCCACCTGTACTAGTACTCAGGGAGGCCAAGGCGGGAGAATTGCTTGAGATCAAGAGTTCAAGACCAGCCTGAGCAAGAAAGAAACCCCGTCTCTACTAAAAACAGAAAGCAATTAGCTGGGCAACTAAAATAGAAAAAATTAGCCGGGCATGGTGGCACATGCCTGTAGTCCCAGCTACTCGGGAGGCTGAGGCAGAAGGATCACTTGAGCCCAGGTTGCTGTGAGCTGGACTCACGACATAGCACTCTAGCCCGGGCAACAGAGTGAGACTCTCCCTATCTCAAAAAAAAAAAAAACAATCTCATTCTGGCTCTTGTGTCTAAGAGTACAAGGCTGCAAGCAGGGAGATCAGCAAGGAGGCAATGTGCACTAACCCGAGCAAGATGAGATGGTGGCATGGCTCCGTGGTAGGCAAAGAGAGGTGGGCAGATTGCAGATATATTCTGAACAAAATTCCTGACAGAAGTGAGAGAAACAAGAATCAAAATGTCTGGTCTAAGCTACAGAACAATGGCTCTGACAAGAAACTGAGGCACGGAGACCGCTAAGACATGCAGCAAATTGGTATCAAACCTCAGCCCTTGACCTAGTTTGCTAATTGGTCTGGGAAATATACTTTGCCCCTTCCTAGCATCACTAATCCCTTGATTACACAAAACTAATTCTACCTACAAATCAGGTACATATATTAAAGACCTAGTTAGCTTAGGTTTTAGACCTTTCTCAATCTATAAAGTTAATACATGATTCTCATAAATTTTTAAATGTATTAAAGTATCTAAAACCTTAACTTTGACCCCACCACCTAAATTTTTGCCAATATGGTAGGCAAAAAATGTCTAGGGTGAAGTTTCATTTCCTTTTGGTCTTGACCTGGAACTCTGCAAGTGCTCTGGGGTCCAAATGTTAGATTTTAAAAACAAGAGTTTCATTTCTTTGATTATTAGTAACATAGATCATTTTTGAACACACATAACCCTTTTCATTTCTTTTTTTTTTTTTTTTGGTTGCCTACTTATATTCTTTACCCTTAAAATGTATAAAGTTTCTGCTGAGTTCTTTCTAGTTCACATCAGTCATTATTAAACTTAAATCATACTAATACAATTAAATTCCCAGCCCCTCCTCTTTCTCTTTTACCTTTATTTCTCTGAGCCAAGAAGAAATATAAGTTTCAAATGCTCTTGCAGTAATGTTTCTGGGAAACAATGGAAGCATTTCCTAATGTTTCCTGTTATATTTTGCAACAAGCAAACCATTATTTTTAGCTGAAGGTGATGCAATAATCATTTTTTCAAATGCTACCCTTCTTTTGAGACTAAGTCCCCAAAGTGAATAACAACATCTCTGATGCTAACTTTGTTACTTTGCTTCTACGGAGCTGGCCTTAAGTATTTGAGACCACCTACAGCAAATAACCATATTTATAGCAAGTAACCTAAGAATTTTTTTAATGAGCTAAAAATCTTTTCCATTAAGTGAAGAAAATTCCAGCACCAATTCATACTTATATAGTTCCCTCCCATCTTCATTTTTGAAAGTTTTTACATGATCATAAAGGAAAAAAATCTAGACTTCACATTCTAATGATAATACATTTGGTAATAAAAAAGAAACTGAGGCTGGTGCTTTCTTGCCAAATACAACGTTATATGCTATATTGCTTTCCTTGTATCCTGTATTTCTGATTTGTATTCTCTTATTTAAACAACTTCTGTGAGTTAAAAATTGATGGTTCTCATCATGTGAGTATTGGTTTCTTCAACAAGTCCTGTCACGCCAAGCACAATGGCTCACACCCATAGTCCCAGCACTTTGGGAGGCCGAAGTGAGAGAATAGCTTGAGGAGTTTGAAACCAGCCTGGGCAACGTAGCAAGACCCT